TTTTTTTTTTATTTTTAGCAACCATACTGTTTATCTAATACACATTGATAAAAAGGTTATAAGTGGTTAGATTATGCTCTTACAATATTTATGTTTTAAATATATTATGTGAGTTGAATATTCGTTTTTATAGTCAAATCGAGCATAGCTCAAAGTGATTAACACACCGGTTATGAGTTCGAACCACATCTCCATGTGTTGTATTAAAAAAATATTCGTTTTTCTACCGAATCTTAAAGTTGATTGGATTTTTTAAATATGATTAAAAATAGTGGTTAAAAACAATATTTTTTTTGTTCTCAAACATATGTGGTCTCTTTCTATGACCAAGGAGGGACGACATGTAGCTATATATATATATATTTTTTTTTTCCAACATGGACCATGTCATTTTCGACATGTGGCATAGACGGCTTTCAACTATTTTTTTTTTTTATCATGTGGACGAATTTGAGAGATTTTCCCATAGCTATTTTTTGACCCATTTGTTTAGTGGACAATTTGATATAGGAATTAATTACAATATATTTGCATATTTGTAATCTTAAATAGTCACGCATTCAAAGACGCCGGATATCAAGTCCATAAACTATCTTGATTCCCTCTCAAAAAAATTAAATAATAATAATAATAATAGTTATAACACTATGCTCAGATTGGCATTATAAAAATATGTTATATATATTTTTCAATTTTGAGAGGAAAAGGTACTCGTGATAACATTGTCATTTTTTCATTTTCATCGGGCGCAAATATTTTTTAACGTCGAGTTGACTATATTATTAGAATATCTTTTGAATTATGACCTCAAATTTAGTCCATTAATTAAATCTAACTTCAGCCTAGGAGAATCTAATAACTATTATTTTTAATAGAAAGAAACTTTACCAATAATCAACGCTTACTACAATCTAATAAATTATAAGCTCAATAATAATATAAAAAGCAATGACAGGTTGTCCCTAAATATTAAATTAACCATAAATTCTATCACCTTTTGAATTTGCAATTTTTTTTTTTTTGAGAAAATTTGAATTTGCAATTTTCAATTCAAAGTGTAAATATGATGGATTTTATTTCGTATTTTTTTATCAGAAAAATTGTAAACTATACATATTATGTGTGTGTATATATATATTTTTTTCTTTTTTCTTTTTTCTTTTTTAAGTTTTATTGTATTTGACTTTAATCATTCATCGTGACATGCTTTTTATAATGACTATGATATAGGATCTAAGTTAAACAATGATGTATGGGGGAAAAATATTCGTAAATAACTATATTATTATATAAAATAATAAAATATAAAAATGGCATCAAATCAAATGTCCTAACTAAATTGTTAATATCCAACGATCAATTATTATCAATTAATAATCTATGGCGTCAATTGATTTTAAAATAAATCACGACTAAGAACATTTAAGTTCTTGTCATTACGAGCACAACTTAAATGAGAGAGAGAGGTTCAATTCCATACTTCACATTTGTATATTAAAAATGTTTTAAGCTATCATTTTTACTAATCATTAAAAAATTTATCAGCCTAATTCAGTAGTAATTGACACATGTTTCGTCGTAAGTTGAAATCCTCACCTCCACTTCTTGTATTAGAAGAAAATGTATCATTTTTAAAAAATATAATATAATAATAATAATAWTATTATTATTATTATTATTAGAGAGAGAGGAAACTAAAGAACAGCAATAATTGAAATAAATGGGCTGAGCCCAAAAGAAGATAGAAACAGAAAAAGAGAAGGAATGCCAACCCATAATCGGTTGGCCCATTCAAATGTTTTTTTTTCGGAGTTTCAATTATACCCTCTTTATTTAGATTGGAGGAACGTCGAGTCATTTAAGATATGAAAGAAGAATCTGTGAATTGTGATATATCGATATTCAAAAGGATAAACTAAAAATAAATAAAATTCATCTGAACCGACAAATATTCATTTTAATATTTTATTAAAAATATTTTGCTGAGTTGCAAGTTTTATTTTATTTTAAAGATGGTTAGTCTAAATTGGAATGAGAACTTTTTGAATTTTAGTACCATTCGAACAATTTTCAAATACTAGTACGGGTCCAAAAAAAATGTTGAAGAAGCTTTTAGTTTTCAATTGATTTTTAAAAATATATTGGGATTTTTGATCCCTTAATTTACAATTGAGAGGCTTAGGATGCTATGAAAAAAGTGGAGACATAGGACCACAATATCATGCTCTACAAAAACATCCCTTTCTTTCACATGCACCGTTTTTGGTCCACTTTCAATTCTGAAACCTATATGGTATATAATGCCAAATAATATAATGAATTAGAAAGCAACCATCTTAACGGATCAAAATGTAGGTGTCAATCGAGTCGAGCCGACCTATAAATCCTACGTATTAGAAAGTGCATCTTATCAAACATTACGTAAATTACTTGTGGTACGACATGTCAATTAATTCGCTACATCAAGTTCAACTTAACAAAAAAACGCCCAAATTCTACATAACTCGAGTCGATTCAATAGAATCACGACCAATCCAACATAATCCATTAATTGGCATAGATCGTGCAATTTAAAAAATTCTGCGAAAAATAGATCATATTAACCCAACAAAGATGAAAATATAGAATTTTGGACATGATCTTATAAACTGATTAAGGTATTCGTATTTCCGACCAAATAGTCGTGGGTTCAAACCTCCGCCCCAAATGTTGCACCAAAAAATGTAGCAAATTTGTCTGGCATCAGCATGGCAAGGGCTGTACAATAATTTTAATATCTAATTCAGGCCCGACCAGACAAATGTTGCCCAATCACACAAAAATGATGCATTAAAAAGCTGTCCCAATAATAGTGAATGTATTTATTTATTCAACCAACTGCACAAAAAAATAATAAATAATGAAAATTTGGGTATCAAAATGCTCTCAAAGAGGTGTGTGGAGGGAAGTGTTGTGAATGGACATCACAACAAAGAGGTCATCATAGAAACTAAAAAAGAGAAGAACATCTCAATTTGAACAGACCAAAAGTTGCATCAGAAGCAAAAGCAAAAGCAAAAGCAAAAGCCAAAAGCCAAAAGTAAAGGCAAAGGCAGCAGTAATTAATTACATCACCCACCCAACCCAACAGCAACAGATACAAAAGCTATGACAATTTTTATCATCCACCCCAAGTATTGACTGAACAAACTGAAGAATTAGTACAATGAAAAATAGATCAGGGAATTCAAGTTTTTGGTGATTCTTTTTTGTTTTTCTTGGCTTCAAATGAAAGATATGATTGGCACTGAATTGAGATTGCAACAAATGGAGATAATTCTTTTTTTCTTCTCTATAAACCACCAAACTCACCTAGAGGATGCGTTGTCTGAATCATGAGCAGCATCGGGTTGTGTATCGACGACTTCGTGAAGGCTGGATTGGCGCAGCTCTTCTATACGCTTTGTGACTTGGGACATTGTGGGGCGTTGATCGGGATACTGAGCTGCACAATCGACTGCAAGCTGCAATAGTTGAACCATCTCCTCCTCGACGTTCTGGTACCTAAGAAGCTCGAGGTCGAAAACTTCGGAAGTCCACTCCTCCCGAACAACTGACTGCACCCATCTGGGTAAGTCGACTCCTTCCTCGTTTAGAAGGGAGTGTGTAGGAGCCTTGCCTGTCAGAAGCTCCAAGAGCAATACGCCAAAGCTATAGACATCAGCCTTATGGGATACTTTACGAGGATCAGTGACCTCCGGCGCGCGATATCCAGCAACTCTGGTGGGGCTGGAAGGTGGTCCAACGAGATGTGCTAAACCGAAATCGGAGACTCGGGCATCGTAGGATTTGGATAGAAGGATATTGGACGATTTTATGTTGCCATGAGAGACATTAGGGCCTTGAGAATGCAGATATTCAATGCCACGGGCGGCTCCAAGGGCAATCCCAGACCTGATTTCCCAGTTCAATGGAGTCCTTCCAGCTCCTTTGTTTCCTGGAGTCAAAAGCAAGCAGCAAAGAAACAGTAAAGATAAAGCTGCTGCAAAAGAATACAGTTCTCCAACATACCCTCTTTGTTTTACACATTTGACTTTTACAAATCTCAAAATTTCACTGTAATAGCTATGATTATCTATAAAACCCCACAAATTTTCCCTATGATAAGGATATTACTTTCCAGTAAGAATTGTTGATCAAAGGACATATTAGTTGTCTGAAAAAGAGGGGATGAAGAAGGGGATATCAGATCATATCATGAAAAGACCAAACCTGAGTCATCCCATTTAACTATTACCATTTATGTATGAAGAAACTACAATGAACACAGAAATAGTGGTAAAACAATTTTTCATTTGATTCACAAGTTAATCACAGCTTCAAAGTTTATGTAAGATGCAACCAAATGAGAGATGCCAATGGCAGGAAAAACCCAAACATTAGATAGAAAAAGGGAGATATGTCAAAGAGGAAATGAACAGGCCATGAGGAACAAATGATACACAATAAAGCAAGACAAGGCAATGATAATCAAAATGTACAACCAAAGCAATTGAAAACGAACAAGAAAGTAAAGGCAAATGCACAACCGAGCAATTGAAAAAGAAAAGACGAGTAAACGAACTAGCTTACCATGTAAAAGAGCAGACAAGCTTCCCATGGGCATGTAATCATAGACAAGAAGCTTCTCATCCCTACTGAAATAGTAAGCCCTGAGAGGGACCAAGTTCTCATGATCCATAGATCCAACAGCTTCAATCTTCTCTCTGAATTCCCTCTCTGTTATGGTGACATCCTTCAACCTCTTCACAGCCACCACAGAACCCAGTTCCAGAACTGCTTTATAAGCAGTCCCAAAGGTTCCTTTCCCCAAAACTTCCGCTGAAGCTCTCAAAAGATCCTCCAAATCGAACACCCTCGCAGCATTACCAAAAAACACCAATTTCTTGGACCCAGCTCCATTGTTATTCACTTCCCCCTTTGCAGCCCCTGCCGCCACAGTTGTTGCAGCAGCAGCAGCGGCTGGCACACTGTAACCATTACTGTAACCGCCATTTTCGACATCCCCAGCTGGCTTTCCACCCTGAATTTCCACTTCAGGATGCTTCACTGTGGCTACATCGACTGAACTTGTTTTCTTAGCACTCTTCTTTCGGCACAGAAGCATTAAGAGTAGAAGTATCAATACAAAACCCAGTACAGATCCAATGATAATCCCTGCAATGGCTCCCCCTGAGAGTTTTTTCTTGTGTCCAGACCCGCCATTGGTCCCAACCTTCCCTGTCGGCACAGCAATATCTCCAGCGCAAGCCTCGAGGGGGCGCCCACAGAGAGAATTACCCAAAAACGAACTCGAAGAAAACGACTGCAATTCCGCTGGAACCGACCCATTTAATTGATTGTTGGAAACATTGAACTGATCCAGAGGGATCTTCAAGTCCGGGATGGACCCGGCGAGGTGATTGTTTTCGAGGAACAGAGTCCTAAGACGGGTCAAATTGTTAAATCCCGAAGAGATCTCTCCAGAAAAGTTATTGGAGGCCAAATTGAGGCGAACCAGGTCATGGAGGCGGAACAAGAAATCAGGGACAAGGCCTGAAAACTCATTACCTTGCAAATACAGGTTGCGGAGATTAACGCATGCGGAGAGATCTGAGGGGAGCTGGCCGGACAATGCGTTGAGCCGGAGGCTAAGAGTGCGGAGGTGAGTCAAGTTCCCGAAAATGCCCGCCGGTAATTCCCCGGAGAGCGCCGCGCCGGGGAGACGAAGAACAGTGACGCGATTGTCCTCGCAACGAATCCCAGGCCAAGAGCAGACGCTCTGGTCAGTGGCATTCCAAAGGCGGAGAGTCCGGCCGCCCACGGCGGAGCGAAGGGCCAGAAGAGCAGCTGTGTCGGAAGCAAGATCTGGTCTCACACTGAGAGGTAGAACACAGAAAGCGAAAAGAAACAGAGAAAGCAAAGGAGTTCCCATCTGGGTCCGCATTTGGGGGAGCTTTGGAGCAAAACCCAGTAGAGTTTTCAGGAAAATGGAGGGCTGTGGCTGAGAAATTTCAAAAACCCAAAGAGGGTTCCATGTTGCAAGGCATTGGTTGGGAATTTAGGTTAAAGGGATTGAAAAGAGGGAGTTTTAGAAGGAGAAAAGGCAGAGTGTGAGCTGTGGAAGGGAAGGGGAAGCTGCATTTTGTGTGCTGTCTCTTTCTTTTTCAATTGGGTGAGACGAATTTCACAGAGTTACCCAGTCCCAGGCTGTGGCTGAGAAGATTATCCCAAATTCCCAATTCCCAAATTTCAATCTCTTTTTTCTTTTCTTTTCTTTTCTTCTTCTTTAATATTCAGAGAGATAGAGAGAGAGAAGAGATCAGAGATTAGGGAAAAGGAAAGGCTTCTTCTTTGTGTATCCAAAAGCCAGTGGTCACTCTCTCGCTTGTCAAATTCACAACGCTCTCGGATTTTTTTTTTTTTCCGTTTAATTTTGTCTTTTTTGTATTCTATTTATTTTTCCTTCCATAAGAAATAAAAAAAAGAAAAAAAGATTGTTTCTTAGTCTCGGACATTTCTCTTTTTTATACAACATATCGACTTGGTTCGATGTTTTAATGAACTGAATTATGTTCAGATTGATTAATCTCATATCATTTTTCTTTCTTTTTATTTTCCCTCCTTCATCCTATCTTTTGTAAGGGAATAAAAGTTTATCATATGGGGAATCTAATTTTAGTTCATTTCTCTATTTTTGTTTATTAATATTCAAAGTTTGATCTTGAGGCGTTTAAAACATTAGTACTATATACTTTAGTTATTGTCTTTATTTTACTTTAACAAATAGATTTCAATAGCCAAAACGAACATAGCTCAGCAGTAATCGACATATACATTCAACAAATAGATTTCAATAGTTTTGATGTGAATATGTATCGGAGTCATTTAATTCGCTTAAGATGAATATTTGATAAATAGATATAAAGTGACAAGATAATAGCAATAATAGTCCTTTTGAAAACTTGAGGACTTGAATAATTATTTTTTGAGAGTTCAAGACTATAATTGATATTTTAAAAATGGAGAAAAACCAAAATGAAATTTGAATCCAAATCAAAAGGTAAGTCATTAGAAAAGTCCAATAACATAATTCTTAACAAATTTTTTCTATATATGGAGAATATAAATAGATATAGAACCATGCACAAATAAAAAAAAAAAGTTTTTGTAGATAAATAAGTTTAATTTACTTAATTTTTCTTTATATTTATTAATATCAATAAATATATTAAAAAATGCAAGTATTAAAATTATTATTGCCCTAAAGAGAGGTTTAGTTAGTGTAAAAAGGTTGATTTAAAGGTAAGAGAATAATAATCATAGCTTTGTCTATGTAACATTTGGTTCCAAAGTAGAGATCAGGAATGATATTGCTGACCCACTCCCTAATAATTAATATTATTAATTTTTTTCAAACAAAAAATAAAATTATTAATTAAATGTAACAAAAAAACACAAAATTTACAAATAATGAGAGTTGGATGATTGTGATTTGTATCAATTAATTAGATTTGCTTAATTGGGAAATGTGAATGTCCAGCCTGTTTCCTAAACACATTAATTATCTTTTCATTTTGTTTATTATGCAATTTGCATGGCCGTTACTTTAGTGTATGTGATTTAGGGTGTTGTAAATTAATTTTTTTTTAGTACAATTTGTAAATGTGTTGAGTTGAAGTAAATAAAAATTTTATTAGTTTGATTGGTTCAAAAAATAAATTTAGATGGAAAATATCTGAAATTATATATAGACGTATTAATTTTAATTTTATTTCATTCCATAATTCTTTATTTGAACGAGATGTTTTAGTTAGGTTCATGTTGGCAAATATTTTAAGATATTAACATTTACTTTTTATTATTATTATTATTATTATTATTATTACAATATTTTGATGAATGACTTGAATAATAAGAACCAACCCAATAATCCAAATATTATATTTGGGTTGAAGTTCTTTTTAGACACAACGTCAACGGTTCATTTAAACACCTATATGGATAGATAACTCTAAGCCCTTAAAATATTTCTATGTTGTAAAAATATTTGGTAATATCTAAATCTGAATATAAGTAAATTTTAATAAAATAAACCTAATCTTTGTTTCTATTTAAGACAACGCTCTCGAGAAGTTGACGTGATTGGATATGAAAAGGGTAAAATTGAGCCGGGCTTGTTTGGGTGCATGGAGTATGAAATGCCATAATTTGGAGAAGAAAGTGACTTGACCAAGTGATTTTTTTGGGGATGTTTAATTCAATTATATACCAAACAAAATTTTTTTTTGTCATATTAAAAATTTGAAAGGGCCACATAACTATAATACCCTTTTCCAAATGCCCAAAGTTTAGATGACAAAATGTCCATTCAAAAAGGCCACCAATTTTTTTGTTTTCCAATTTCCATCATATAACCTTCCTTTTCTTACCAAATTATTGCAAATGGAAATTGTAAGAACTTTTCAACTCATTACTATTTCATCTCCTTTTTCTTTTGTATGAATCTATTCTTTATAATGAAATTGATGAATTAATTGATTGTTATTTTGATTACACCAAAAGTCCATCGTTTCAATCATTACTTTTTTACTCTTTACTTTCCTTCGTAGAATTACATTTTTCTAATTAAAAAATATGTGCAGAGATTATATATAAGAATTATTATGAAAAGTCACTTTTTTATGTAGAGGTATTTGTATAAATAGTATATGAAATATCAAATATAATAAAAAAATTAAATTTTTGCAAAAATGACATAATTGAAATAAAATGTCTCACAACTTTATGTTTGATTTCACCTAAAATGCCTCGTAACAATTGAATAATTGTCCCCATTTATGTACCATTGATCAGTTTCTTTCCTAATCAATGCGAAACTTTATTTGCACATCTTGCAACCACAATTCAAACATCCAATTTTTTTAATTGAAAATATATTCCTTAACCAATTAACTCATATTGCATTTTTTTTTTCTCTTTTAAAGTTTTTTAAACGTATTGATAATCTTGACTTTTATGACTGTTAGATCATAAAATATACTTTGTATATTAGAATTAATGGGACAAACATAATTTATTTACCTACTTTAAATGTATAATATTTATTTAAAAAAAGAGGACGGAATATATTGAAAAAGATACATTAGTATTATCATGGAATCAAAGCTAATTAATTTTGATTTTATATGATAAATTGAGAAAGCTGTTGAGATCAAATAAAAAAAAAATAAATGAAAAAAGAAAAAAGATTAAAGCTTTTGGTTTTTGGGCTTTTCTATAAGATATCAAATTGTATATTGCCCCCTTCTCATTCCATACGTTTTCCCTCTCACCGGCATAATAATAATTTTTTATTATGTAAGGATAATAAAATAAATTTTAAATAATTTTTTGATGATGGTATTTTTTTTTTGATTCATTTTCCTGTTTATACTTTTAAAATGTATATTTTAGTCATGTCCTATAAACTTTTCGTTGTTGGGAGGTTGGAAATCTACCGCCAAGTGTCACGAAATCGAACCAAATCTTTAGACTAGTGCAAACATGATGTAGATATTCGAAAGGAGCAAGGAGCTCGGAGACGAATCAGTATCCATATATAGTCACTTGATTCTTTGTTCCGTGACATTTGGAATACGATGTGAATTCGATGAGAAATTAAAGAGCAATCAATACCCACTTATCTCCAGAATGCACCACAATCTAGGAGAAGATACGGTTGGTGATTAACACCACACCATGAATAGCAACTTATAAAAAATAGAGAGAGGTTGGTTTACAACTACGCGTGAATTTCGACTGTCTTTGAATTTAATCAGCTCGGACTTCTGTTGACTTAAAAGTCAAAGTGCTCGCCTCTCTTTTGCAAGTTTATTCCCTGTAGAGATTCACGACACACGTTTAAGTGCCAATTTCAAACTCAAACACTCTTGTTTATTTTGGTCCTATACTATTAAAAAGTGACTATTTTAGTTTTTTTTTTTTTTATCTCATTTCATTCCATCGTAATTCTAACATATAAAAGTATAAAAAATAAACATTTTGAAAATATGGAAAAAATAATTGAATGTAAGCTAAAAATATAAAAATTAAAATAGTATTAAATATAATAATAATAATAATTGAGACACCGAAAATCTCCAGCCAGCCCGCTGGATGATCCGATTCGATCCGATAATTGCCGCAACCCGTAACGCACCGACAATTTGACGGCCTCAATAAAATATGTAACAAATTATCATTTTTAAAGAACAATAACGTTGTAAATGGGGCCCACGTAACATCCTTTTCTTTTGCTTTTTTAAAGTTAAATAATCCAATTATATTTTCGTTTTACAACATGTTATATACATATTACACATTACTCGCTTAGAAAATAAAAATAAATAAAATAAAGTTATAGCATGTTCAATAAAAATTTAAAAGAATTAAAGAAAAATATTGTTTTAAAAAAGCATCCCACTCTATTCCCCTAGTCTTGATTTTAATTGTGTTTTAAATAATTTTTAAATGAATATTAATAATTATGACAAAAAAAATATACTTTTTTTAATCAAAATAGTAGTATTATTTGCTTGTTCAAACAATCAATTTATTTCACAAACATTAATATTTTTATCAATAATTTAATAATTCTAAAAAATTGGAGGTGAGTTTTGTCATCCCTACCCTCCTAACATTCTTAAATGTTAAAATAATAATAATAATAATAATAACATGTCATTTTCTTTATTGAATATTTTATTGACAATTATTGAATAGTAATCAAGAAACTGTGACAACCTAAAAAAATCTAACATTAAATGTGAAATAAAAGATCTACAAAAATTGAAAGGAGATCATCATTTCCTCAAAATATATGCAATCACGAGTTTTTTTTTTTAAGCAATACTATTTTGCTTCGTTCATTTTAATCTATTTCAAATATTCATTTTCATTTCATCATTTAAAAAAGGGTCATTTTAGTCATTTACTTTTCAACTTTTATCTCATTTATTTTTATAAAAAAAATTCATGATAGTAACCAAAAATTTATATCATTAATTATGAAATTTTGTAAATAAAAATTATAATTATCACTTTTTAAAATTACAATAATCAAAATAAATCAAAATAAAAATCTAAACATCGAACTTATTTAAAATGATTGAGTGGTGGTTGGAGTTGCTGGAGAGAGAAAAATTCTTCTGTATATATTGGAGTCATGAATAGTAATTAATAAACAAATAAATATATCTTTACTATGTTAGTTAGCTGATGGCTGTGATGTCTGATTAATTATTGCATTGAAATTGGAAAAAAAAAAGTTGAATTATAGAAATAATTATATACAAATATCAGTTCAGCTGTGTTTATAATGACAACATTATAATATTTCTTTGGAGGACCAATCCACCAGCTTTCTTTGACTTCCTTGGATTTTATTATTTACTCATCTTTCTATATATATCTCTACTTTCTTAATTTTCAATTGGAATATATTTCTGCCTTTTAGGTGGGATAGGTAATAGACCCACAACATATCATATGATTTGATTAAATTTAAATTCTTCTCAACATAATTAGTTGAGATTTTATTTTTATTTTTATTTTAGTTTAAATACTATTTTGATTTATTTTAGTTCTCGTACTCTCAATTTAAGCAGAATATTCTGGTCACTTTATTTTCATTTTTTATCTTACATGAAACACTCTACTCACTAAATTTCTTAAAATGTTGTCATAAATTCGTATTAAAGAGTTTTTATTATGTAAAAAATTTATGTCAAAATTTTGTAAATAAATATTAAACTGACCACTCCTTAAAAGTATAAAGATGATCTACAAAAAATAAAATGAATCTTTTAAAAGTAAAAAAAAAAAAAAATATATATATATATATATATACAAAATAGTATTTCTAATATTTTATTATTTACAAAAACATTGTTGCAAGTTGTAAATGTGTCATGGGGAGGTGGAAATTTGAAGACTTTTCAGTTTGGAGGGTTGCAGTTTCTTCCAAGAAAATTAAAAGGTTGAGCGTTAGTTTGATTTATTGCGTTCTCCCAACTGTCAAAAGTGATAACTGACACTCAACTCAACGTTTTAACTTCCAAAATAAATAGACACAATCATGCACTCAACTTCAAAATTATTTAATGAACTGTCACACCTGTCGAAATATCAGGTTTTAATACTATTTCTATTTCTAATTGTTTGTATTTTGATCTGTCTCCTTTTAGAAATATCTTTTTATTTATTTTAGTCAATTTACTTTCGAAATATCAATTTTGATCTCTTTTAGAAAATGTCCAATCCTTATATTTATTTTTATTTGTAAAATTTTAACATAAATTTTATACTGTTTAATACAAATTTATGACATACATCGTAAGAAAATATGTGAGTACAGTGATAAAAAAATTGAGATATAAATGAAAATGAATTGATCATATGGTAACTTTTTAAAAATATAGTGATCAAAATAAACACTTCAAAAATATACGTGCTCAAACAAACAAAAATTAAAATACAATAATCAAATCGTACCTTACACAAGTATGATAACAAAAGTAAGCTAAAGCAAGAGATATAATGGCCAAAATAATATTAAAACCAAAATATAAATGCTGCCACGTTTAATACCATGTATAGACCTACTCTATATAAAAATTTAGACTTCCTTTTGTAGAAGTTATATTATTTAACTGTTTAAAATTCAAAATGATGTATAAAGTACCAAACAATAATATTCTTTTCAATGGATTTATTGGAACATTAATCTTTATTTGGTTCATATGCCCAATTTAATTTCAGAAGGATTTGAGACGTTTTACCAGGTTTCTTGAACCAATGCTTGAGTGATTTTAGACTTATTCAAATTTAATAAAGTCTATCATCCATCAACTATAATGATATTGTGGTAATTTCAGTTTCGAGATAAAAAAAATGGTAATTTTCAACTAATTTGATTTTGGACCCAATTCTTATATGATCCATTAATTAAATCTCAATCCAAATGGCTTAAGGAAAGACATAATGGAATTATTTGGTAATTACCATTTTTTTTCTTTAATTTTAATTTAGAAATAATATATAATTAATTCCAAATAAAATATAATTTCATTAATAACGCGACCGTTTATGATTGGTTGAAAATTTATGTTTCTATAGAATTCGAAGTTTGCAAAATAAATCAACAAATTTTAACCTCTTGATTGGAAATATATGCCGATTAAGGTTGAGCCATTTTCGTTTGTGCAAATAAATCAACAAATTAATATATATGTTTTTAAATGAATGAAGTGTGTGAGGTAACAATGTAACTTATCTGATTGAATGACCCCGTTCTTTTTGTTCACACCATCTGGGCCGGTCTTTAGTGTGTCTGACACCTAGCAGCCCGCAAGTTTCATCCCAATAACATCATATTGGCCGGCCCAGCCCAGCATGCTAATTCATGGCAGCTACTATTTTGGAAGAAAAAGTGAAAAATAGACACTCGCAGAAAGTAGAGAAAAGAAAAAGGGAAATTTAAGTGAGTGCCTAAATTTTGGCACCCACTCCTTAAAAATATAGTCATTAGTTTTAAATTTCCAAGTCTCAAGTCAAATAGAATATAAAAAAGAATTAAATTTACCCTCTTTTTTTTAAAAAAATAATAATTAAATAATTAAATTTACCCTTAAATAACACTCAGCCCATTACATAGAGATCACACAGAAGAGCCACTTTCTTGCTGTTTTTCACGTTCAAACCGATTGCATTTTAATAAGGTATACTAATATTATATCAACACACAAATATATCAATAATTTAATAAGATATATCAATGCTATATCAACACACATATATTTGTAAGCAGTTCAAACATAAAACGAAGAAAGCAACCGTGGCCGAGCGTTATTGAGAGGATATCAGGAAAAATTGGATCTCTGCAAATAGCTATTAGTTTTGTCTCCCCTACTTTTACGAGTGTCCTGAAATATTTATGTAATTATAGGACCTTTTCATTATTTTATATATGATTTTAGAGATGGGGTTGAATTGAAAGTTGGGAAATTTTACCAATTAAATACTGAAATTTGTGAGATATATGATACAGAGATTCAAAGTCAGAGTTCAGCATCAGAAGCAAAAAGAGAACGAAGGCTTATCTCTTGCATAAATCTGCTCGCTTGAGTTCATCCATCAACAGATGTGCAACGGATTGGTATCCCATTTCCCGAGCTAAAGAAATCAACAGAACACAAAAGATGGCAGCAGAATCAATGACCCAACAACCAAAAAAATCATAAAATAAAAGAGAATTCAATTCGACTACCTCTGTAAATGGCGGGCCCTGTTGGAGCCATCTTGCGCTTCTTCAAACACAATGAACTGCAAAACAAAAAGATCCAATAATCCATTTTGACGAAATTTCAAACTGAAAATTCTGTGTTTCTGGAGACCTAAAGCAAACAAACCTGTTGCATATCCAATAAGGGTCAATTCCTTTCTCCTCCACGCAATGAGGGCACATCCATTTCTTGTTCTCTATCACTTCTTCTATTTCTGATCACAAACAACACAGCCCAATCATCCTTCAATTCTATGTCTCAAAGGATTTTCATCATTCTGAATTGGAGAGACGTTTACCTTCGCCATATCTGACCTTCAGACAAGCTCGGCAAAAGACGCCATTGGAGGAATGACAAACAGAGCAATCAGTCTTTCCTGCAAGGAATCACTCGGTACATTTTGACTATGATATAACAATGAATCAGTGGTGGATTTCGTTTGAATCACTCACCGATGCAGGGTTCATCCATATCGAAATCACCACATCTCTTGCAATCTTCTTCTCCACAGAGTTTCTTCTGCCTAAACCCACCCCACATTTGTTTTCAGCCATCATCAAAGTGTGAATCTAAGCAAAACCCTAGTGGGGTAGAAGAAAAGATCGAATGTACCTGCAGAAATGGCAGCAGATTCCAAAAACAGGATCATAAACACTGCCCCGTCCCTTGCTATTGCACGTCCTTGCCGAAGCGTCCGGCGAAAGTCGATGTTTCGATTCGACACTGTCCACCAAAGGGGCATTCGCAGGCCTCTTCTTCGTCTCTTCCCTTACTCCAATTTCTCCTACTGCGTTAATTCGACAGAAAAGTCAACATCGGCATACAGAATATATTATTACCATTTACCAGAGGGTTTTCTAGATCATTTTACCTTCTTTAAAATCGGAGTTCGGATTATCAAGCATTAGTTTCCCCTTTAAGCGGTCGGATCTCCGGTAAGAAATCTGGCAACGTAGGGGAGTGGTTTCGGGCGTAATTCGCTTCAGGCGATCGGAGCGACGAAGAGGAAGGGAGATTCTGGAGATCGCCTGGCGACATTTGCTCGGTTGGATCTTCGGAGATTTTGCAGAGGAAAGGATGGAACGAAGTTCAGATACGGTCTTCTTCAACCCTAGCGACGCCAATCGCTCCTAATACCGCCATTTTCCATGAAATCAGACCACGCAAAAAGAAGAAGAAGAAGGAGGAGGGTTTATGAAGAAACCTGATTCTCCAAAATGCGAGCATTTCTGATGTCTTCGTAGTCACATTTTGCTCTGAGCCTTCCCATGGCGTTTGTTTCTTCTTTGCTGCAGCAGTAGGAAAGAGAGATGGGGAAGTGGTGCGGAAGGGAAAAAATAAAATGACATTCTGTCACCCAAATGCACATGGGCCGTTGTGATCTCGCGAGGGGACCCACCGTCGTCGTACTGCCACCGTGTTTTTTTGGCGGTCCCTTCAATTTGTGTGACGGAACTGTAACTTTTACTTCAGCTCCAACGGTCGAGTTTATAGCGTCCGGCCACTTTCAAATTTCAAACCCCAAACACCTCCGCTCTAAAGATTTTTTATTTTCTTTTCTTTGATTGGAAACATACAAAAAGTTGCACTCATTCTTAGATGCTTTTTTAAAAATAATAATAAAATAAGGTTGTTTGAACCTTAGTCGGACTCGTGATCTTTCCTTTCTAGATCTGGATGAATTACAATCCTTTTACATTTAAATGCTTTTTTTTTCTGAGTTAAATATTATTAATAGAAGATCGGCAGAGGATTTTTTTTTCTCAGAAAAACATTTATTTTCATTTTCGCCTTCTGAACTTTCCGATTTACTTTATTGTAATTTAAAACATCAGTTTAAATTCTTGAGCTTCCAATAAATAACTATTTTTAGTTTTTAAACAAACATCAACAAAGATGAGAGGATTGAATTCTTATGATCACGTATTGTTGAATTAGTATAATACAAAAATAAAACTTATTTATGTAAAGAAATGCAGAAGGTCAAACTTTAGTAATGGTCGAACTTGGTTCATGCACAATGGGAAGACCTGATCTGAATAAGAGGGTAAAATTTTCGACGCTCAAATTAGCTCAGATTCAATATAAAGTTTGATGAAAAATTCGATACCTAGAGTGGAAATGAGGTCTTCTATTTATAAACACGGGATTCTACCTAGAGTGGAATCGGCAGTTATCTTTGTCATTTTGCAGATCGAACATGTCAGGCTACTCAGGTCGAACCGTTCAACAAGTATGAAATTATGCTAAACTGACCAAGTCTCTCACCTCGATCGTTCGAGGTGGAGATGTTGATTTGAACAATTCTGCTTTAGCGAATCGCTGTCCTCCACTGGCGCAACAATTTTCTCTACCAAACATTGGTCCCCTCTCTGTAAGGTTCAAGATCGACCTAGTAGAGAAGTTCTTTTCATGAGAAATTATTCGATGTGGCAACTTCCCATTTCGAGGTGATTTGAATATATACTAAGTTCATACATTAGTACACATACTTCAAACTACATGGTAGATTTGCTAACAAAAAAAGTAAACGTAATGATCAAAATATGATTTCTTTAAAGTTTAAGAAATGGAATAATGTTGAAAAATCAGATAGTAAAATGGAACTTGAACCTAATTGTATCGCTTGATACTTGAAATTAAAACATTTAAGAACATTTTATTTTATAAACTGAAACGTACTTTTAATAAATACTCATTAATCAACAAAAAGAAAAATAAAACTAAGAACATGTTTATGAGATGGCTTTACTTAAAAAAGAAAAATTATTTATCTAATGCGTATAGGCCTATATTTAGGGTGCATTTTGGTCGGTGGGTTGAAAATATAAATAGTGAAAAATCTAGAAACAAATGATCCGATAAAAAAATTGTATTCCATATTTTTTAGATTGTGTTTGGTAGAACATCTATAATTTGAATATTAATTCTAAAATTGTTGAATAAAAATTAAGTAATAATATGTTTGTAAACTGTGTAACCACATCAATGTAGAATATTATATTTTTTTGTATAATTATTATTTTACAATATTATATAACTTATAGTATATGATGCTTCACCTATTAAATTTTAACAAAAATAAAATGAGTTTATAGCGTGAAATAGGTTTATTTATCAAAGTTTTATACTTCTTAATATAATTTAACAATTTAAAATTTAATATATGAAAATACCTAATAAAAATGTTATTTTCAGTACTTCATTTAGATCACATAATTCAAAAACAAATTTAGAAAACAAATTTGTCAGATAGATATTCTTAATCTATTTGATTCAGTAAATTTAAATGATTTGTGTATGAAACATACCCTTTACTAGCTTGTTTAATAAACTTTATGGGATTACATGCTTTGAATTTTTCAAACAATCATAATTAAAGTTAGGTTTTTCCAAATATAATGAACTTGAGCGAAATTTTATAAAGAGCATTTCCCCATTTCTCTCTTATTTAAAAAAAGAAAAAAGAAAAAAAAACCTTCACTCAAAGTTGTGGCAATGATGTAATAAGTCTAAAATATCAAAAGTCTCTATGTAATCTAGTTTAGGTTGAGCACATATGACCTAACAACTTTGTTGTTATATTTATCTAACTCATATCTTATGTATAGGTTAGTTAATTGTCTTTTATAAATAAAAATGCTTGTCTCGAGCTTATATTATTTATGTTTAAATACTATTTAGTCTATGTATTTTCAACTTTTGTACATTTTAGTCGCCCTACTTCCCAAACGTCCGTTTTGTTCTCTATATATTCTGTTTTTGTTCACTTTAATCCATGTACTTTCAAAACCTTCATTCTTTTTTATCTAATTTATTTCAATCAAATTTCATAATAACACTTCACTCACAAAATTTATTTAAATACAACATTGAATTGTATCTAGGGGTTTCCACTATGTATAAAATTAGAGTTAAAATTTTGAAATTGGGGACCAAAATAATCATTTTTTTATAAGCATAGGGTCCAAAAATGATGTTTTTAAAATATAAGAACTAAAATAAACAAGTTGAGAATATATGAACCAACACATACATTTTGAAACCTATTATACATAGACTAAAATGAACCGTAGATGAACAAAAATAATATTTAAACCTATTACTTGCAAAAATGATAGAAAGTCACTCTATGATATATAAAATGGAAATATAAAGAATTATTATTATTATTTTCTTTTAGTATAACAAGACAAGAGACGGAGATATTTGAACCAATGATTTATTAGTTAGAGATATACGTCAATTACCACTGATTTATGTTTATATTGGTGATAAAAAATTAGGTTGGTAACGTGGGAAAGTGAAATACAAGAAACACTTGATTTATTACACATTTTCATGTTTCACATTTTATTTTTTAAATCTAAAAAGTTGTTCTATTAACTTTTAATTCTTACCATTTTAATTATCAAACAAACGATTCATTCAATTATATCAAATTACTTGTTCTAGTAAAACACTAAAGTATTTTATAAATTTGCTTCTCTCTCCCTCGATAGAGTTGAATTATTTCCCAAAAAAGGATTAGAGAGATTTGAATGATTTATGAAATATAATCCAATGATTAACATGTGATTATTGCGTTGCCATATTGAGGATTATTTATTAATCAAAATAATGAATGGGGAGAGTTTGTCAAAGGCCTAATGCTTACTAATCACTCCAACCAATTAAAATGATTTAAGACTCAAGTCACGCATTCAATGTGTAAAAACCAAGCATTTTTCACCAATTCGGACGCGCCACGTGTGAACTTCTTTTTGCGATTAAAACTCGGCTAAAGGTAAGGTGACCACACCAAATCTTTGGGCCGGGATTGCACGCAATTAAAACGACGCCGCCCGATTTTGCCACGTGTTTGGTTTGGTATTTTTAACGATAATGGACTTCCCACTGCTTCCGCTTCTTATAATCATAACAAACTTAACCGACTCGCGAATCGCTACGTCCGTGCCACGTCAACGTCGTCGTCACAGACTCAGAAAGCGACCCATCTTATTAATTTAGTTAAATTCCAATTTTACCTCATAAATTATTTGAGTTTCATTTGAATTTTCGTTTTGTTATCTAATTAAATCTTTTAAAAAACATTTTATTCAACCACAAATTTAGTTCCGGAATATCGGTTTTAAAGATTTATAAATTAACATATCTAATAACTTAAAATTTTATGTTTTATCGGTTCTAAAACGTCAAAAGTCTTACATATATAAGTTTTACAAACATAAAGTTAAAAAGGTTAGGGACATATTAAATATTTATATTATATTTAGAAATATAGTTAGTTACTGAAATATTCTCACATGATTTATCCACCCTCTTTTGATAGGTTAGAAATTTATCTTATCTAAGGAGACTCGAGATATTTTGAAACATCTGAGGACTAAAATGATTTAACATATAATTTTTAAATTATTACGAAAAAAAAGTTTTTATATATATTTAAAGTTGGAATTTTCATGATATTCGTAGGTACTTGGCCGGGGTTTGTTTTTTCCGGTAAACCTCTTCGATAGACTCTGACTTTTTGACCCTCGAGATATTCTTATTCAAGCAGAAAAATTTCTCCGTTCACACTTTTTTTTTCCACCAAACATATATACAATAACGACTAATTCAATACTTTTTAATTGAAATCAAATTTTCACAAGAATAATATTAATGCAAATCAAATTTGTTGGATTTTTATTTCTCAATTATTTTTTCAGATTAATCCCTATAGTCAGCTTGACGTTGTTCCTCGTAAAAGGAGTCAAATAAGAAAAGAGGCAATAAAGAAATAAAAATAAATATTTAAATGTTCAGACAAAACATTGAATTAAATTAGACGTCAGGCCACAGAAATAAAAATCAGTAATTTAAATTTTCCTTTGTGAAGGGTCAAACTTCAAAGACGGGTTAATAATAATCAGCGTCGGCCAAAGCCAGGACACGTGGAGAGGAGGGGCAATCAAGCGGCTCACGGAGAGTGGGTCCAGGATAATCCGGTGGGACGCGACGCAGAGGATCGACGAGGTCAAAAGCAGTCACCTGATTCAAAATGGGATTGCGCTTCCGCTTTCCCCAC